TCCATTAATGTCCGCACTATATTCTCAGGTCCCTTTGTCCTACCTGATAGCTACACTATTGTTAGTGCTATTTACGATATTTCGCTACCCGAGCAGCTGTCTAAACCTGTCACTGTCAAGCTGGAGCATTGCGTTGATCTTAATGATGAGATTATGGCTAGTAAAATGTGCTTTGCTACTGCAGCCATTGATTTGGAGAAGAAGGTTTTTGTTTTTGATTGCGTTGGAGGAGGGAGTTTCCCTAAAGGAGAGACGTATGCCTCGCTGGACATTAGTGACAGCTGTCTCCTATGTGTCTTGTACAGAGGATCAATGTTAGTTTTATTAATTAATTATTTATTTATTTATTATTATTAATGTAGGAGGGATACATCTATGAAGTATGCTGGTCAGTGCTCTTATGTCCGAGACTATAAAAACTCTTGGACGATGAGTATACTCTTCACAAAGCATTTAAGTGCACACTATAAGGTTGGACTTTTTAAAAATAATGTATTTTATATTTTTAATAATAATTTTTATTTTTTATTTGTAGTATACACAGTCTGAGACAGTTGGCACTATTGAGTCACAGTCACACCCATTTTTATTTACGAGAAGGAAAGGTGATGGAGAGTTATTGATGGAACTCGATAAGTTTAAGAACCAAATGGACCTCAAAGGTTGGAAGGTAGTGCCTCTCACTCCAATACCTGATGTTGTAAGTATTTTTTATCAAATGGTTTAAAGTTGCTCCAAAATTGGACCAAAGTTCTTGTACTATAGTACATTTGAAAAGGGAACAGAGCCCTCAAAAATTTTATTATAAAAAAGGGTAGAAATAAATATAATGGTCTCGGGCCAAATTTTGCCAAAAATGAAAAGTAGAGAATTTTCAATTTTTATAACATTCCCTGATACATATACATGTTCTTATGTTGTGTAGAAAGTTTGAGCTGATTCCGATCAAAACTGGATTTATTGTACGAATTTAAATTATAATTTCAATAAAGAAAGTTTCATTCATCTATTTCTGATGGTATTATTTGTTACAGATATTGAAATCTCAGATTGATTGTGTGGAGTTGCAGCAGGAGTTTGGGAAGCTTCAGTGCAGAATAATTCCGTCGATTGAGTTTTTAGTTTATGTATATGACGAAGACGCTGCGACAGACGAAATTGACAAGTACCTTGACATTGAAGGAACCACTTCTAGCATTTTCATCAAGAGACGAAAAGAATGAAAATAACTTAAAATGAACTGCTGTTTTTTTACTGAATGCTGACACCACTTTTTTAGTTTAGAAAATACTTTTTTAGCTCGTTTTTAGTTTATGATTAAGTAGGTGTAGATAAGTTATTAAACTTTTAGTAAAAATTAATTAATTTTTAATAGTTAATTGTATTTTTTGAAGACTTTATGTACTCTTGCTATAACTAACAGTACAAAAATAATGTTAAATACAAAATGCACGTACATAAAAATACAAAAACTAAGTGTTACTATTAACCACATTATCCTCTTGGCAGTACATCATCAAGATCAGCCAACACATAAGCATACACTGCCCACACAGCAGAGCAGAGGTTCATCTCTTCTGGGTCAAGTACATCCATAGTGTCACCATTGGAGTGATGATACCAGAAATAATGCTCATTATGATTAGCTAGACTCGCTGTAGGGACTTTGTCTTCTCTCCACCAATCCACATCAGTTCCTCCTCCATTATCATATACTTCAGAAGCATTAATGGAGACCAGTAGCTGCCCTATTTGCTGCAATATTGCTTTAGCTTCAGCTGATCCTGAGAATAGGATACCATAAGGTAGGAAAACACCTTCATCAGATTCAAAGAGGATGCTGTACTTGTCAGCATCTTCTCTGTGTCGCTGGTAGTACTGCTGGGACCCTACTCCGCCTGCTTCTTCATCCGTCCACATGACAAGACGTAGGGTACGTTTAGGAGTCAATCCCAATCCTTTCACAATACTCAGAGCTTGCCAAGATATGAAAGCACCTCCGCCATCATCCATAGCCCCTTGACCGACGTCCCAACTATCCAAGTGTCCACTGACCACTACCACTTGATCTGGATATACAGATCCTTTGATCTCGGCCACAGTGTTCCTTGAGATAACCATTGGCAAGGTCTGTGCCTCCATATACAAATGAATGGTGAGTCTTTCTCCTGCTCTTTCAAGTCTATCAAGCATGTTTGCATCTTCAATGGTGATACAAGCAGTCGGTATTGCAGGAACTGAAGAGTTATATTCCTGAATGCCAGTGTGTGGTGAGTAAATGGAGAAGGGCCCCACTGTGCGTATCAGGGTAGCTACTGCTCCGTATTTTGATGCTTTTGAAGCACCATTGACCCTGTAAGCTACAGTCACTGGATAACTGACATATGGTGGGTTGAACACGACTATCCTGTCCTTCACTTCGTCTTTTCTTTCTTCCAACTCGTCAAAGGATCTCATGACGACAGCATCAGCTGTGATACCCTCCTCAGGAGTACCTACACTAGATCCTAAACCTAATATTGATAATTCTGCTGTTCTCGGCTCCAACAATTGAGCTTTCTCTTTTCCTCGGACCCAGTGAGTCACGTTGACCTCTTCACCAT